TTAGCATGTCCTTCAACAATCTTTTGTAACGATTTGTCCCAGCCATCAATTTGATGGAAAATGTAACGCCAAACAGTTCAAGCCCGCGTAAAGTCAGGATTGTGTACAGTTTGTGTGGCTGAATGGAGGTCTACATAATATGAATTATATGTGAAGAGAGAAAAGTAAACGTTCTGCTGTGTAAATAGGAATCCATACTTGCCTAACAAGAACTAAATTAATTCTGATAGGGATGAGCCGTGTAATGCTTGTCGATGGAGCTTTAGTTGTTTGTTTTTATCCCATCAAAAAGTTAATTTTCATCTCCTTAAATAACTTAGACGTTTCTGACTGAGATTCTAGAATTATTTTTTAACTTTTTATTGTGAAAAATTCTAAATATATTATAAAAATAGAGAGAATAGTATCTACCCATTGCCCAATTCCAATAATAATCAACATGCAGTCAACGTTTTTGCATGTAAGCAGCACTTCTCTTCCCTCCCTCCTCCCCAACTCTAGATTATTTCAAAGGAAACTCCACATTTCACCCACCAGTATTTCACTATGTATCCTTAAAAAGTAAGGAAAAAATTTTAAAACATAATCTACATTATCATTGTCACACCAGAAAACAGTAATTGTCAACAATTCCTGTGGAAGCTTGTCTGTAAGATGGCCACAACTGATTCCTTCCCTTCCTCTACACACCTGCCATTTCTTCATCAAGAGTTGGAGACTATTCCTCTACCTTTTTTGAATCTGGGCTGTCCTGGACTGCTTTGGCCAGTAGACTATGACAGAAGTGATGCTGTGCTAGTTCTAGAATTTAAGAGGACTAAAAGTTTCCTCTGCCTTCTTGGAAGTACTGAGCTTCCACATGAGAAATCTTGCTGAAAAGACCACAGGGGAAGCCCTATGGAGAGATGCTATATGAAGAGACTATATATATATGATTCTGCTTCTTTTTGGTTCTTCCTCCATTCCATTGCCAGATGCAGATATCTAAAACCAAACTTGGCCACCTTGATTTCCCTGCCTAGTAACTTTTAACAATTCTCAAAGCATGGAAAGGAATACTCTCAAAGGGCCATGAGTTCTCTTGGAGAATCTTAAAATTTCATTTATCTTGGTGCAAGTTTAAAACAATATTATAATATCCTGAGTCATAAGGATGAGCACCTAATAATAACAAAGTACTGAATCCAGTGCCAATGACTGCATTTGGATTTACAATAGGACCTCAAGATGTTAAAGTATGCTGTATAAATGAAATTTTTGAAGTCATTTCACTAGTAAAAATGGTGAGAGTGATCGTGTAACACATGCATACTCATACAGAATTCAAAAGAACCTGTCCCATAGCATTTGGTACTGTGCCAATTACTGAGGATGCTTTGTCAAAACACATTCCATTGTTGCACATACCAGATTACAATTGTTTTCTATTGACAGGTATGTTGGAATATAAGCAATGAAGTACCTTTCTAATCCCAGTTCCAGAAATAATTTGACTAGGTAATCATTTAATGCAGAATTCAATAATGCCTCAAAGGTAAATTTAACTTCAAGTAAACAAAATCCTTATAGAGTTGCCAAGTAACATCATTTAAATTGGCTTTCAAAGCTTGGTAGGAGCAGAGTTTGCATTAAGGATTCAGTTAGACTATCCTGAATTAGCAATCAAATCTTTCAGGTTTTTAATAGTCTTTTGACAACATACTTTTGCAAAAAGACATTGAGATTAAATATAGAAAAGGATTTTATCTACTAGATGAAACCATACAAAATCGCCAGTGTTCAATCATTTTGATCTACAGAAATGTCAAATCTTGAATTAGTGATGATAAATTGAATTCACTGGTTTTGTAAATATTTTTTGTAATTCATTGGTTTCATTTTTAATCATATTAAGAGCTATGAGCAAAATAAGTTTCAACCTAGTTTTATTTTTATGTATATTTAACTAACATTATAAATAATATTAGCAAGTCAGCATTGGGGTTCTGCAATGTCTTTCTCTTTAAAAATAGTCTGTGTATTATTCAAGTGTGAGAAACCCCAGCCTAAGGGACAAAGTCTGAGCTCCCTATCTTGTCACAGAAGACCTTCAGCAGCCTAGCGCTGCCCCTCTCCACCACCTTCCTCCAGTGCTACTTTTCTTCCTTTGTAGCGTTCAGCAATATAAGGCTGCTTACAGTTCTGCTACAAACACAACATTATTTCATGCCTTCCTACATTTGTTCATTTTGTTCCCTCCCCGGGCATATCCTTTCGTTCTCAACTTTCTCATCCCCCAGCTGCCTCCTCTTCCAACTTTTACTCAAAATCTCAGTTCAAGTGCCATCTTCTTTATGTGGGTCTCAGAAGGGCTCCCGTTTTCCTGCAGATCTGTCTCTCCCAATAGAACATAAACTCTATGATATCAAGCACAGTGTCTTCCCAATTTTTACATCTCCAGCTCTTAGCACAGTATCCCTCTAAATGTTAAATGAATGTCTGTTGTCGTGTGCCATCGAGTCAAGTCAATTCCAACTCATAGCGACCCTGTAGAACAGAGTAAAACTGCCCCATAGGGTTCCTAGGCTGTAATCATTAAGGGGGCAGATTGCCAGGTCTTTTCTCCCACAAGCCGCGGTGGGTTCAAACCGACAACCTTTTGGTTAGCAGCCAAGTTTTTAACCGTTGCACCCCCAGAGCTCCTTAATGAACGTCTATGTATGTGGAGTGGAAAGGGCTTCATCAACAGTTTTCACTAATCAGTGGCAGCTCCAAGGGGCTTGATGCATTCTAATTTATACTTTTGCTAAAACAGGTATTTGAATTGCTCTTGAGTTGGTGGTATCAGAAGCATGTCACTTAAACAGTGAGCAAGCTCAAGCAAATATCCCTGTCTTAAAAAAGACTTTCGTTGTTGCTGTTATTCTCTTTGGATGACCTTTTCTTATGAGAAAAAATTTATTTATTATGTATTTAGGGATTTGGAAAGATCTCAGCAGCTCAAAAATTGTAGTCTGGTTTCCCTAAAGGACACTGTGTGCTTAATCTAATGAGAGAGGGGCCTGGAAAGAGAATGAGACCAAACTTTAGATAACTTTGAAAGTCAGAATAAGGTTTTGGATTTTATTTTGTACTTTCTAAGTAGTCATTGCCTGTATTTGAGAAGGAAGAGTTGCATGATGGCGATTTAAGAGCTGATTCAATTCCTTCCAGACCAAAATGTCCTGCATTGGTTTTCTGTGCTATTAATCTGCTCTTATCAAATGACAGATAATCCAAACATTATTCTTATTTGGATTTTGAAAGTGAAAGTCTTGTACTCATATATACATATATTTTGAGTTCTGGGGATTTTTAATGTCAAAAATAATGAACTGACTTTATTTCTAGATTTGTGTGTGTGTACGTGTGCTAAAAATTAACTCCTGTCATTTCTCATGCTGTTCTAAAATGAAGCCCTGTTTTCTCCATAAACTGACTGGTTCAAATTTACTCTGGTCCAGTTACAAATGGTTAGGTACTTTTTTTTTTCCCAAGGCTAATTAAATCAGTTTATCTGTTGTCTAAAAGCAGCTATGCCTATTTTAGCTGAACTCTTTTGTTTTGTTATATTTAAAAGTCTTATTGAACCTCATTTGGGATTGTTAATTAACTTCTCAAGTTCTTTTTTAAAAAGGTGTGGCAACAGATCACATATTAAAAAAAAGCCTGAGATATGACAAAGAAAATAAGACACAAAATTGAAATTTGCCTGAGATAATAATTTATTATTATAATCAAGTTAGAGCCAACATGGATAGAATTACCAAGAACACAGAAATAACATTCTTTGACGAACCATTGGAGGATTCCCTGAGGTCCACAACACAAAGCTGATAATATATTAGCTGTGTTTAGAAGAATCTAGTCTAAAAAAATGCACTTGGTAAAATTAGGGTCACTGCATATGATATGTGGGGTAGTCATAGAAATAAGATTACAATCCACCTTGTCTTTAAAAAATGCCTACATTCATATGCCATTTGTGCAGATATCAAAAATTTCAAATTTGTTAAAACCCATGTATTAAGAGTAATCACATTTACTTGCTAGCCAAATAATGTTTTTGTTTCAACGTTTGTTTTTGAAACTCAGTCTAAAATCACAAACTCATGTTCTTTTCTACCTGATAAAGTCACAATTCAATTTTAACTCTCATTTTTTTCAGATGAACTAAGCCTCTAAAAAGTAAAATAGCTTAGTCTACCCCATGCCTTATTAAGTAGAATAAATCTTGGAGGCTAAGCATCCTTTGGTGCCTAAGAATCTTGCTAACATTTCCAGATTAATATTGTACCATTCTTCTTTCACAATTCTCTAGATGTTGATGTAGGATTTGAGGTAAAAGTATGTTTACCTCAGAATAGAAAATATTCTCTACAACTTCTTTAGGAAAAAACTGTTACATGTTTATTCTTATTTCATTTGCCTTTGTTTAAATGTTTAAAAACAAATTTCAGGTGAGAAAATTCTGCTAAATTAAAGATTTGAATGAGTTGGGTTTAATTTATCAAGGTTTAATTATAAATTAAGTATATGTAAATTAAATATGACCATGGATCCTGGTAGACTGCTGGATTCATTACAGCCAATTCTTTCTTAGGTGTCAAAACTGAATTACTCATGTATCAAAACTGATTTATGATTTTCTAAAAACAGCCATGTATTTATATTTCTGAGTAGTAGTATGTTCCAAAGGAACCAATAACTATTCATCATTACCTCAGTGACAGTAGTCATTATATTGCAATGAAAAGCATGTTTATCAAGAAATATCAATGAGATTTGCATGGGTCAAATATATTGCATAGTAGGAGTTTATATGGGTCCCTTTAAATGTATGGGTGCTTTTCATACATGCTTCAAAATTACATGGATCCTTTTAGTAAATTTTGCTGCATAATTACCCTAATGTTTTTATAGGTTTGCCAGATGAAATAATGACATTTTATGTAGCATATGGTCTTCTTTTCTACACTTAGGTTCTCTCTTTAGGAGCAGATGTCCTGCCGGAATATAAACTGCAGACGCCACGCATCAACAAGTTTACGATATTGCACTACAGCCCTTTCAAGGCAGTCTGGGATTGGCTTATTCTGCTGTTGGTCATATACACTGCTATATTCACCCCCTATTCTGCAGCTTTTCTCCTCAATGACAGAGAAGAACAGAAAAGACGAGAATGCGGCTATTCATGTAGCCCTTTGAATGTGGTAGACTTGATTGTGGATATTATGTTTATCATAGATATTCTAATAAACTTCAGAACAACATATGTAAATCAGAATGAAGAAGTGGTAAGTGATCCAGCCAAAATAGCAATACACTACTTCAAAGGCTGGTTCCTGATTGACATGGTTGCGGCAATTCCTTTTGACTTGCTGATTTTTGGATCGGGTTCTGATGAGGTAAGAGCTGCTAAGAATCTTACTTTTATGAAAGATTGCAATTATAAAAGTTAATCTATTTAACTGAAAAAAATAAAATAAAATTTCTTTACAAACTTTCCATATCTCACAGATGAAACTCATTTTCAATTGTAAATGTTACAAAATGAAACAGAACCATTCACCGCTGCAAATCATTCACAATTTTTTTCTGTTTTTTGCTAAAAGATGCTAAAGACTAATCCATTTCTTAACCAACAAATTAAACTTTGAGTCAAGTGGTACACACCACACAGCATGCTCCCAGGGTGTAAAACCTTTACATTTAACTTCATGGCTATAAAACTGTCAAACATTAAGAATCTCTATTTTTTAACTCGTAATTATGATTTGAAACAGCAGGGACTTGTTTTTTGTCTAAATTATGTGCAAGAGGGCACCTTCTGAAATGTTTTCTTCAGTGCCCTTTCTCTTAAATAATATCTAGATTGGAAAATACTTCTTCCATGTTCCCAATACCTTATAAAGTCAGTAGCTTAAGGAAATACGAGAAGTATATGTATAGTGCATTTTCTGGGTAAAGGGTCCGTAACATTACATCAGATTCTCAAAGATATCCATTCAAAAGAAGTTAAATGCTGTCATTTAATTGCCACTGATTTTTATTGTAAATAATTTTCCTGGATTCTACAATGGAAATATTTACAGAAAGTGTGAAAGTGGTTCTAAAGGAGTAGGTTGAGAAAGATAATAACCTCAATGTGCTGAATTTTTAAAATTTAGACTCCTTTTCTGCCTAAGATCCCCTCACCACCACAGTTTTTTAGGTTGTTTGTTTGTTTTTGGCAAGAGAAGACCAAATCACAAAAATCCCTTCAGATGGTTGCTTCCGACAATTAAGGCTTCAGGGCAAAATAACCTTCCTTTGCTAAAGGGAAATTATAGGTTTAGAAGTAAACTGTCTCTCATAGCACATGCCTGTCAAACTGTGGGGCAGTTAAAAGCAGGACAGAAGAACAAGACATTGTTCCTGGATTTTAATAGTTACATCCACTACAAACCTTCTACAATGTCTGAAGCCTGAATTTCCTCATCTGTAGAAAAGGTAATAATAACTGAATAATACCTTCCTCTCTGAAGTTGTTTTTGGAAACGCTAATGAGATAATACATATAAAATTCTTAACAAAATACTAAGCTACTGTTAAACTAGTTGAACTTTTAATAGAATCTCCTCAGTTTTAATTAAAGACAAGAAACAATTTTTTTTTATTAATCTTCCTCTTCATGTGTTTCTTACAGTGGGTGACCCATGTAATTACAACAAATGAGCTCTTTTTGATAAGTAATTGAATAAAACCTCACTCCTAGAAAATTTAAAATACATACACCAGCTTAGTGAAGTGAAAGAATGAGTAAACAGGCCAATAGGATTGTCAGGGGAAATTGGCGTACTTATGACATTTAATCAGTAACAAACAAACCAGGAAGCATTTGGGTATGCTAATTATAGCCATTCTGGTAGAATTTCTAGGATTCAGTACTTGATTAGTTTAACTTCATTTGCCGTATCACTGAAAATAATAAAATTACATTAAAATGTGTAATACAGATGATCATTATTTCTAATAAACCTTCCTCCAAGTAAGCTGAAACAGGAGAAAATGTACATGATTACATTAGTTTAGGATGATACAGTCTTAGGAAGATAGGGTATCCAGATCACCTTTGTCATACAGCATCAAGGAAAAGGTGAAGCTTGCCCGAGAGAAAACAAGCTCCTGTGTGATTGCATGAGTTCTCTTCACATTCCCAAAGCTGCTGCTCACTCTGTTTAAGAGGTGATGCGATACTGGGAGGATCCTGGCTATGATGTCAGGCTGACCTGGTTTGATTCTCTTCTCTAACACTTATTTGATGAATTTAGGCAAGTTATTTAACTCATTTAAGACTTTATTTCTTTTCTGTAAAATGGTGAGAGCTGGGTTCTTGTGATTTTTAGAAAAAAAAAAAACCTCAGCATTTATAAAGATACCAGCCCAGTAACAAGCACAAGGTACTTGCTTGCCAAGGGTTACTTTCCTTCTCCTTCACATCTCTTTGAATTAATGTCCCTTCAAAAGCTAATACATTATCACATTATCCATAAATATCTTACTTATTCATTTTTTCAACGAACGTTTTTTGAGTGTCTTTTATCTTATATGGGTTATTCAGATTAGCTAATTTCAGATTAAAGGGACCCTGAAAAAAAAATGAGAGGTAGAAAGGAAATACTTTGAAAGACAACTATCGGTTTGCAAAGGATAGGTGCATGGGGTACACGGTGGGGAGAAGCAGGTAGACATCAAGGATAGCAAGTGGATTTGGAGATTCATAAGTAAACAAGAAAAAGTCTCTGTTCTCCACAAGCTTACACTCTAAGATTGGGGAAGAGGTTGGGGGTGGGGTGGTGGTGTCAGTAGAAGGCAAACAATATTAACGAACGAACAAATAACTGAGCAAGATGATTTCAGTGAAGAATAAATGCTATGATGAAAACAGCAGGTGCATTTGACAGAGAATGACTGGGATGGAGTGGATATAGGGAAAGGCTACTGAAGCGGTGACATTTGAGTTGAGATTTGACCAAAAGGAATCAGCTACATGAAACTTCAGTGCAGAGTATTTCAAACAGAAGGGAATACTAGTGAAGGCCCAATTTGAGAACAAGCTTGACATGTTAGAAGAACAGAAAGAAGGCCAGTGTAGCCACATTGAACCACAATAAGTGAGGGACAGAGTGCTAGAATATAAGAATGCTGAGACAAGGACCAAATCATGTAGAGCCACGGGGCTTGGAGTTTATTCTTGCCACAGTGGGGTCGGAATGGCGTTATCTGATTGACATTTTGAAAGACTGTCGGTCTGATGTCTTCAGAATGGATATTCAGAGTAGAAGCAGGGAAACCATTTTAGAGCCTATGCGTAATGCCGGAAGGACAAGTTGGACTGCGTAGTGGTGATGGAAACGAAGTAGACAAATTTGGGATATACTTTGGAGGTTGGCAGTCAGGACTTGTTGGTGGATTAAATATTGTATGGAGGAGTAACAGAAAAAAAAACAGAATCAAGGGTAGTTCCAAGATTTTTGTTATTTGTTAGTTGTTCTTTTAATTTTTTATTTTTGGCTTAAGCAAGTTTTACAGATGTGATACTTTTACCCAGATGAGGAAAACCTGGGGAGAAAAAAGGTGTGTTGTAGGGGAGAAATTCCTGTTGTGGCCATGTTAAGTTTGAGATGCTTATTAGTCATTCAAATACAGATGGCTTGTAGCAATTGGAAGTGGAAGTTGGGCACTGCGTGGATAACTAGAAAGATATAGATGTGAATATAAGAAAATGAAATGAGTTTCGTTCAATTAAAAATTAAAGGTAATCATGGAAAAGTTTGGTTTGAATCAGTGGTATTATGCTAGGTCTCTGCATCAATTTCACTGTAGATCTTTTAAAAGAATATGGAGGTAGATCTGAAGAGAAGCCTTGAAATCTGCATTTTTGAAAGTGTTATGAATGATTCCACTATTTATTTAGATGCACAAGTTCCAGTGGCCGTATCTAGGCCAAAGAGAGTGTTCAGGGGATGGATTTTGTCCTCATAGGTAGATATTTTTCCTAAATAAATATAGAAGTACATTAATAAATAAACAAAAGGGTGATTTTCAGCTAAAAATAAGAACAGTTATGATTTCTTAATTTAGCTGCATTAGTAAAATGTTTTCTTCTATGCATCACAGCATCACAGATTTTCTTAGAGAAAATATTTTTGTTAACATCAATTAAAAATTACTGTCTTCCTTGACAATTGTCCTAGATGATAAGCTATTTTAACATTTTTATTTTATTTACATTCAACTCTGGAGTGGAAAAATTTTTGAATTTTGAATCTACATTATTTTACCTATGCTAAGAAGATAACACATACATTTCTAGGAGAGCAGACATTATGTTCCAAACTAATAATTTTCCAAATTAATCATTTAATTATTTTAGCTTAAGTAATGCCTATCATCTACAAATAACTAGAGAATCTTATGTAATGTCAAAAACATTTTGAAGAAAATGAATACTGCCAATAACTGATCTTGCCTATGCCATTAATATCTTCCTGTTAATTCTACCTAGAGAGACTCAGGGGAAGGTTGTCTATTTCCTTATTTATACATCATCAACCACTATGCTAAATTACCTCGATATCACTGAAGCAAAGGAACAATATTATTGGCTCAGTCTCCAAAAAGTCAACTTTTGATTATCTGCCTCAAATTTTTCCTTATTTTCCTTATCTGTAGCAAATCTTACTTTCCGAGATATCAACGGTTAGAACCCAGAGTACTCTGTTTAGTTGCATGCTTCATTAACTTCTTCTTTCCTTAAAAGTTAGTATTCTTCTAATTAATTATTTGCTTTGTTGCCATCTCTCCTTTGACAATTTACTGATAATTTTCATGAATCCTGAATCCACAGAAGAATTTGAAATCAAAATACTTGTAGTACTCTTTTAGGAAAAGTTTCAAAAGAAAATAGGAGTTTCTGTTCACATTTATATGTTTGTTTCAATTAGTCTGATAGATGAATAGTGGAATGAGTATGAGGAAAACCTTAGCAGGCAACCGTGTAAAAATTCTGATCATCTTGTCAGTTTTTTTTCTGAACCCAATATTTTCAATAGATAGTTTGTTGAAAGTGAATTTCTAAAACATCAGGCATAATCATGTTCAAATATAAATAACAAGGCACACTCTAAAGACATATATGCGTATACGTGTGTATACATAAAGTATCTATTTCTCTGTCTTTAGAGTAGATTGTTTCTGGGAGTTCAGGCAAAAGTTTCCAGTGACTTATATTGGAGCTGTTGGTCAAGCCTTCAAAAATCTATGAGAGACATAAGGATTCCCAATGGTATAATTGTTTTTGAACTAAGGAAATATAAGAGAACTCCATTTAAAAAAAAAAATCATTTTACTTTCACTTCATCATTTATTCATCATTTATATGTGATCTAATGACTACATTTTGCTAGAGATGGCATAAGGTAAAATTTTTGATTAAATATTTCTCAGGACAAGTCTAAGTCTCATTTTTTTTTTAAATATAACATTTGCCTACTTCTATTTAGAATCATTTGATAACCAGTATTCCATATCACTGTAACTACAGAAAGAGAAACTGAGTTCAAATCGCAGTATAATAGAACGTTAATCATAAAAAAACATAGAATGGTCTCAACTGTAAGGCTGTTAAATATCAGAATGAGTTTCTAATGAAATTTCCTTCTCTCTAAAAGCCATTTGTAAGAATTTGGAGGTTTGCTATGACGAAAGGAATGATAAGTTAGGTGATTCCCCAAGTATCTTTGCATACTAAAAATATAGCTCTTTGTATTAGCAAACGTGTCCTTAGAAATATAGACATCATGTGACTCAGCTGAACAAAAGACTAGAAACTAGTTTCATTGGTAGTGAGTTTTTCTGGGTAAGTAATTCATTGAATGTTGTAGACAGCAAGTACCAGCACTGACAGGGAATTGAAATGAAACCTAAATCAAAATATGAGTATAAAGTCATACAATTTGTTATCCACTAATGTTCCTCTTTCCCCATTGGTATGCAAATATTTCTTGACAAACAGGACAGAATGAGGGATTAAACAGAAAATATCAATGATGATTCATTCTGACAACCCTGTAGTTGACACTAAAAATTACATATTTATATTTCCTCCTTAATAAAAGAATAATTCTGTTCACTTACACATGGGGAAAGGTTTTAGAGCGTAAAAACTCTAAAATAAACTATTTTAAATGTAAGATTCTTGAAAATGCTTACTAAAAATAAAGCAGAATCATTTTTTTCAAAATTATTTTGAAGAATTCTTTCATTAAGAAGATATATTCTTTTAAATCTGTGAGACAGGAAAAAAAAATCTACTTCATCGTCATTATTTTCATCATTGTCATGAAAATAATAACTTAGCACTGGAAACAAAGACTCACCTCTCTGTACATCTCAAAATGAGCAACAACTGGAGTCCAGTTGTTATAAGCGTATCTCAACTACCCAAGCTCCTCTCACCTCCAGAGGGTTTCTAACACTAACTGGAAAGAATTCAGGGGAGATTGAAGAATCCTCCCCAAACCTCTGTGACTGCTATGGCACATAAAAAAAATATATTATAGCATTTTAATTAAAAGATTTTTCTGCTACTTTTTTTTTCACCAAGGCAGTATTAATCAATATGGGTGATAGTTAAGCCATGTGTTATTTCTTTAATTAAGATGTAAGTGTTCTTAATGCATTTGGATGTATTTTGTGAAATAAACACCGACAATGAACAGATAAAATGACTCAATAATTGATTGGTAAACACCATGTAACTATGGAATAATAATATGCCCTCTGAATTATATAGTACTTATAGTTGACATTATTTAGGAAACCTAAAAAATGAACTTGTAATTTGTACTTATCAGATTTCAAGTCCAAACAACCATTTAAGTATCCTGTTACTATATGGAAGTGTCCTATCATTAGATACCTGGTCGGTTATAATCATGTAATTAGTTATACATGTCAAAACCAAAAAGCAAAATACAATTATATCATTGAGATATCAAGAAGCAATTTATTAATTTAACACATATACAAAGAAAAATTCATTTAAATATACTGCCGAATACATGCATGCAATCATCAAATAAGTGTTCCCACAGTTATCTGCTTGACTGACTCCTCTTTATGCAAATCTGTTTCAACTCAACTGTCTGCTCTTCAGAAAGGCCTTCCTTGAACTTCCTTTCTCAAGTGATTCCCAACCCCAGCCCACACTCCAAACACCTTCTATCATCTTACTTTGTTTTATTATCATCATTACACTTTTCACTATCTAAAATTATCTTATTATTTGTTTATTTTAAAAATATCAGTCTCTCCCCACTAGAGAAAGAACTTTGCTTCTCTTCATTAGAGATGATGCTTTCTCTTCTCTGTTAAATAATTCTCTTCTCTACTAGAAAAACAACCTTGTCTTTTTGTTCAACAGTGTAATCTCAATCCATGTGTGGCCCTTGGTAGGCACATAGTAACACGCGGAAATGTTTGCTGGGTAAATGAATGATTTATTGAGTACCTGTTATGTGCAAGAAGGCGGCTGGGTGGCAAAAACATTAAGAGCCTGACTGCTAACCAAAAAGGTTGGTGATTCGAACCAACTCAGAGACATCTATTGATCTGCATCCGAAAGGTCACAGCCTAAAAAATCCTATGGGGCAGTTCTACACTGCACATGTGGGTCGCCATGAGTCAGAATTGACTAGACGGCAACGAACAACAACAATTAAGTGCAAGGCACATGGTTAGAGCATAAAAAAATGTAGACAGATTCTCTGTCCCATGGGTCTTATATGTCAAAATGTTAAATTAATGTGCCACACGTTTTCGAAGTATTTTCCAAAACAGAAGTAAAATCTTAAAAAAGAAATAAGCTTAATACTTGATTCAAATATACTCAGTGTTACCGTATTATTTTAGCCTGTTTCTACCTACTTTATTTCATAGGAACATACTTTGAATTGTTTATCAACTATTTCTAATCATGAACATTTGTTTCCACAGACAACAACATTAATTGGTCTTTTGAAGACAGCTCGACTCCTTCGTCTTGTGCGAGTGGCCAGGAAACTTGATCGATACTCGGAATACGGCGCTGCTGTCCTAATGCTCTTAATGTGCATATTTGCCCTGATTGCTCACTGGCTGGCTTGCATTTGGTATGCGATTGGGAATGTCGAAAGGCCGTACCTGACTGACAAAATTGGATGGCTGGATACCTTAGGACTACAAATTGGGAAACGTTACAATGACAGTGACTCAAGTTCTGGACCATCCATAAAAGACAAATATGTCACAGCACTTTATTTTACTTTCAGCAGTTTAACCAGTGTAGGATTCGGGAATGTGTCTCCTAACACCAATTCAGAGAAAATCTTTTCCATTTGTGTCATGTTGATTGGCTGTAAGTAGATTTCTATTTTGTTAACAATCAGAATAAAATAATGCTACAGAATTGGTATCTCTAGAAACATTTAGAATGAGGAAAAGAGAAAATTATAGAAAATTGTGGAGATAATGGGGTTACATATATGGGCACCATATTCTATCAAATCTGATTCTCTCTGTAAAGCGGAGACACCAAATGTCTTTTAGGACCTCAGGAAACCATAGGCATAAAACTGGAATGATATGGGTTTGGGGATTCAGGAACAAACGCTGAAGCTCTCTTTCACTGCTATAAAAAGTTTATTACCAATGGTTATATTTCCATTTCAAGCTGAGTCCAGATTAGAAAAAGTAGTTTACATTTATATACATATATATATATATATAAATAGTATAGCTAAATATTCTCTCTCTCTCTATATATATATATATATAGAGAGAGAGAGAGAGAGAGAGACTAAAAATTGACTAAAGATTCCTTTCCCTGTGACATTATGCCAAAGCCTAAATGATTATGCCTTTACCCTGTAATGGGGTAATGTCATAAGCATCATTTATAAGACGTATTCTTTAGAATTAAAGAAAAATTCTATGTTAAACCGAAGATGTTTTAATGGTAATATAAGAAATGTAATATTACTATTTAAAAACTAAAATTGAAATCCTGCTAAAAATAACTTGCTAATACCAGGCAACAATTAGCAAAAGCAGAATGGATTTTTAAAGGTTAAAAAAAAAAAAAAAGTATTGGCATTAGATTGCACACAAATTTGGAAATTAATTTAGATAGTTGATTTTAAAATATTAACCTACTGACTAACGAAATGTGACTAGATAAGCCTTATTTATAGACCTTAAATAGATTCTGTCAGTTTATTGTCCACTTCATTTAAAATTCACTTTTCATATGTATGTTTTAATGTTTTAACTTCAATAACATTTGCATAACCAAACAACATTGTATTTGAATAACTTTAAGACATTCTACAAATTCAAGCAAAGTAAGGAGCCCTGGTGGTGCAATGGTTAAGAGCTCAGCTGCTAACCAAAAGGTTGGCAGCTCGAATCTACCAGCTGCTCCTTAGAAACCCTATGGGGCGGTTCTACTCTGTCCTACAGAGTCGCTATGAGTTGGAATGGACTCCATGGGAGCGCTCCCACCACCACCGCCCCCAACTATAAACACAGGAGTAGCATGGCTCCCAGAAGCAAATGGAAGGGGAGCCTAATGGAACAAATAAAAATATCCATTCTAGAGAGACTGAATCTCTCAAAGCAAACACAGTCCCAACCATCTTGTAATTATAACTGCTAGTAAATACTTAGTAGTGGCTTATCAACTCCAATGGCTGAGATGAAAACAAGAAAAAGAAAAAGTTTTGTTCTTGGTGTTTCTAATGTCACCTGTGAAAGAAAGGATATCACCACAGATAATAAACATAAACATAAACAGACCTAAACATAAAAGTTTAAACTATAAAACTTATAGAAGAAAATATAGGAGATAATCCATAATATAAAAATTGACATACTGGATTTCATCAAAATTAATAACTTCTGCTCTTCCATAGACTCTGTTAAGAAAAGGAAAAGGTATATGATAGGCTAGAAGAAAATATTCTCAATACTTAGATCTGAAAAAGGACTTGTATCCAGAGCATATCAAGAATTCTTGCAACTCCATATCAAGAAGAGAAGCAATTCAATGTAAAAAGGAACAAAAGATTTGAACAAACACATCACAAAAGAAGATATATGAAGTACATGATAAGTAATAAGTACATGAAACGATGTCAATAGTTGTCAGGGGAATGCAAATTAAAACCTTAAATGAGATATCACCCACTATAATATCTGGATAATGAAAAAGGAAAACAGAAGAATTGTTGCATTTCGGACTATGGTACTGGCAAAGAATATTAACTATACAGCGGACTGCCAAAAGAACAAACAAATCAGTCTTATCCAGAGAATATCAAGTATTCAGCCAGAATGTTCCTTAGAAGCGGAGATGGCGAGACTTCAACTCGCTTATTTTGGACGTTTTTTCAGGAAAGACCAATCACTAGAAAAGGAGATCATGGTAAAACAGAGGATGAGCAAAAACGAGGGAAACGCTCAATGAGATGGATTGACACAATAGCTGCAACAATGGGCTCAAACATCCCAATAATTATGAAGATTGTGCAGGACCAGGCAACTTTTCTGTTATACGTAAGGTTGCCATGAGTTGCAGCTGACTCAATGACAACTAAAATGTCACCACCACAATGGCTAAAATTAAAAGGACAATACCAAATGTTGGGGAGAATATGGAACAACCTATATTCTCATACATTGCTGATGGGATTGTAAAATGATGCAACCACTTGGCAAACATGCTTTTTCTTATAAAGTTAAACACACAAGGACCATACAACTGAACAATTCCACTCTAAGTGTTTAACCAGGGAAATGAAAATATATGCCCACACAAAGACTCACATACAAATGTTCCTGGAAATTTTATTCATAGTAGCCCAAAACTAGAAACAGCAGGTGTCTATCAACAGGAGGAGAGATAAACTGTGATCTAGCCTTATACTGAAAATTTATAAAAAAGAACAAATTACTGATATACACAACTCAGCAATAAAAAAGAACAAGTTACTGATACATACAACAACAGGATGCATCTCAAAAACACTATGCTGAGTGAAAGAAGTCAGACACAAACAAGTGCATACTTTGATTCCATAAATCCTAGAAAATGCAAACTAATTTGAAATGACAGAAAAGAGATGTCTTTGCCTAGGGTCTGAGTATATGGGGCAGACAGCAAATACATATGAGGAAACCTTTTGGGGTGATGAAGATATTCTATATCTTGATTGTGTTTATATGGGTATATACATTTGTCAGACCTAATGGAACTATACACTTAAAATGGGTGTGTTTTATTATAGGTAAATTATACCTTATTAAAATTTCTTTTTTAAGTTATAATTTTTATAAAATTGTTTAATAGAAAAACAAAGTCTATGTGTTCTGTGAACACCTTTGAGCTAATACACCACGACTAACTAAGTATATTATTTTGGGTAACTTACCAGATTTTGGGTGTGATGTGCTGAAGGAAGTTGTAAGATATACCTGTTTTATTTCTATAATTCAAAACCTAAAACAAACCATTCTGATGAAATAAAAACTCCCTATTGAGAAAAGCAAAATAAAATATTGAGTTGAGGAGAGAAATGTCTGTATATAGTCTTCCAACTTGCTTTTAAGTGATATTTTAGGCTATTTGGTGGACATTAACTAAGCATATAATTCTGTGCTTCTCTCTCACTTGAAGCCTTTAGCTCCATTTGCTTCCTTAAAAAAAAAAGAAAAGAAATTGATGGCTTGGTTATAGTTTTGGACATCATCATAGAATTCCCTAGAATAAATACTTCAATGAGTCATTTATGTATGTAACCATGTATCTGTATAATGTAGATTTTGCCGTCTTGTCAATGAATAGGAAGTAGCTGCTTGTAACCCAAGCTAATGTTTTGTTTCATTTTGAGGGCAATAAAAACCACAGTATTTATTAAAAACTGCATAAAAAAAGTTTTTCCTACCTTTCTCCTTCATGTAATTATTCTGGTTTAGGTAAGGAAGGAAAAAAAAAAACACCTAGCATTGATTATATGTCCTCTGATTGAGTCAAGTGAATTTTATCTGTACTAACTAAACTATTTTCTGAGAACTTTGGAAACCTAACAGCACCAATAAACATTTCCAACACTACACTTAGGAAGAGTAAAATGTATTTCTCACATGAATCTCCTTGAATCATAGGAAACAGTTTCAGGCAAGTATTGCTAAGTCCCTTCTTAATCAACTATTCATTTACTCAAATTAGGCTCACCTCTTCTTCCTGCAGAAAATACAACCTAAATCATTTGTCTACCTTGCTGATAATTACTGTCGCTCATATCCCAATTCAGCCTCACTAAAGCTCTCTCCCTAACCTTCATTCCTTTAAATAGAAGAAAACAAAGGGCCACTTCTTTCCCTGGGACATTCTCTTCTTGGGAGCATCTGTGGTAAACAAAGACCATGCTAACCAAGAGACAGAAGTAACATAGAAAAGAAAACAAATACCCTGGAAGACAGATTATATTAAAACACTTAGCTTGAATCTGGACAAAACCTACTTTCAAAATGATTAAGTGGTTTATGGAGATAATGGTTTTTAAAATGTGTTTGAGACAAAAAAAAAAAAAAAAAAAAAAACCTTGTTGATCGACTATAGTTTAATCAAACTGTTCAAGCTGGTTTTCCCCCACCTTCTTGGTATATTGCTGTTCCAGTGGCTTAAACATATATTAGCTCCTCTCTAAGGTTCTGACATATACCCCAAAATCAACATGCAGGTCATGTATCATGATGTGACTTTCTGAACAGAATATAACACTTCTTTTTAGAATTATTAGAAACTGAATACAAATATAAATAGCAAAAGAGAAGATGCTTGAAGAGGTTATTTTAAATCATAAACATTTAGCCTAGGAAGCACTACTAAGGTTTTTCCCCTTAAGTACTGCATGCATAGCAAGGAATGTCATAGCAGTTTCCCCCTATAGATGAAAGAACAAAATGTATTTAATTTTTCTCTACAAAAATAAACTATATTCATATTCTAAGCCAGAGATATCTGTTTCTCATGCCAAAATACTATAAAAATAAATTTTAATTGATTAAAAATTGTACACAGATAAACACTGAAAGAAAACTAAAAGTTTCTTAAAACAATTTATAATTTCTTAGTAAATCCAAAGTACTCAAAACATTAAGATTATAATAGATTTTTTAATATTACAAGGTTAAATTTGAAGCTGAGAGGCACTGATAAAATTAAAATTGATATTTGAACTCTACTTCAAAAATTGGGCTTTGATATTATGAACGATGTAAGTTTTTATTTTAATTTAGAATCCATGGTAAATTTGGATGGAACTGGATACTTTTTTCCATGTTTATCATTAAAATTATTAAATTTAAAGCAGTATTAGCTTGTCTTCTTTTCCCCCCCATGGGCCAGTGGTAAATAATTACAACTTAATTGACATCATCAAAATGTACATACTTGAGATGCTAACAAGATACTGTATGCCCAAGTGCAGTGTTCCTCCATAACTTTGTTTTTTATCCAATCCAGCACTAATGTATGCAAGCATTTTTGGGAACGTATCTGCAATTATCCAAAGATTATATTCGGGAACTGCCAGGTACCATATGCAGATGCTGCGAGTAAAAGAATTCATTCGCTTTCACCAAATCCCCAACCCTCTGAGACAGCGGCTTGAGGAATATTTCCAACATGCGTGGACTTACACCAATGGCATTGACATGAACATGGTATGTATTGCTGTTTCCCAAAACTGAAGCACCACGGGCATTATAGCTATAGCCAAAATGGAAAAGCCAGTCTCACCAGCTTTGAACCCCTTGCTTTTGTTTTCCTCTCTCTGATGTTTATTTTCTCCCCTGGAGATAGTCTCTCATTCTTAATTCATGGCATTGCATGGTGCTATATCCAGTTATATTGTGTGGCAAAGGCATTATAACATGATGCAAACTGCTATAACTGTGTGTAGTAGGATTCCTTCTTCTGGTTAGAGAGAACATTGCTTGACCTGGGACTTGGGCTTTCATCACATGGCCTAGTTGCCAGCACCCAAAATATCAGTTGGACCCATGTGCATGAAGATTTGATAAGTAAACAATAACAACTATGATGCCTCCAAACCAAGATCATTTTTAATATTAATGAGAACCAAGATTAACACCCTTTAAAACATAAGGCGTAAGCATTTTATAATAAGAAGTTTCATGCTTCTTTTAAGGACAGTTTTCTTTTTAAGGATAGTTTTACCTATGTGCCCTTTTACTGTACCTGGTTTAATGCATCTTTCTTTCAAGGGGGAAATATGGATTCCTTCATACCTTTTAAGCAAATTTGACATCAACGATCACTTGTCATAACCCCTGCCTCCTCTATCACTGTTCAAAATCAATAAAATTAAAACATTACTGTGGTCCAAAGAAGCTCTTTTTACTATTAGGGGGGATTTTTCACATTCTTTTGACCTTGTGGTTTGGCTATAGAAACTAATCGCTAAAAAATTATCAGATAAGTCTAAATTTCATGGCATATCATAGAGATATAATAAAATGATTAAAAATAAGGTACCCTCCCACCTGGCTACTTCACCACTGGTCAAGGACGCTGTTTATAAGAATTCTTCAGAAAATAAAATCACTCACATTTAAAGACATCACCAGCATAATACAATTTTTTGCCTAAGTGAGCCTGTACAATTTAGATCAATATTGTTTGTTGGACCAGCAATATTCTAGCAAAAAAGCAAATGTTCACAATTAGCAATCAAAGTGCAGAGAACATTGCAAATATTGCCTAATTTGAAAGACATATTACATGTGGATCATGTGTGGATCATGGATCATTACATGTGATAGCCATGTGTGATTTATCTGAATCTAAGTAAGGGCATGCCATTATAAAACATTTTAATTTGAAGAGTTAATTGACTAGCACATTTCATATGAAACAATAACTGAACTCCATGTGTTATTTCTAGTCATCCCAAAGTTGCTTGCAAAAAAATGCACTTGATAAATTGACCTCACTTAAGAAAGAGCTTCAATCACATCAGAAAGAGCACCTACAAATCGATCACTTTTATGTATGTCCATCTCTATCATAGTTTTAACAAAGACATCAGCATTTGGAAATTATTCGGGAATCTCTAATGCCGGGTTAGATGAAGCAGTGTAAAGAATTTTTAATCAAAACACGTGTCACCCAACTTTGTTGTTCCAGACTGCCAGATTATTTCAGTAAGCGAAGTAAAACAACAATTATTTATTGTACCTTCCCTCTCCATATAACTCTAGTTTTGTGACCATTTTTGTGATAAAAAGTCTATTTTGTGACAATTATTTACCTTTCATTGTTTGACTCTATTACCTATGAATACGGTTTATATACCACTTGCCTATTTACAATGTTCTTATGAAAGATTTATCTCTTTCCTGTCTGCTTCAAACCTTAATACATGGAATCACAACACCCACCGGTAAGAACAGGAGGTATTTATATCCAATTTAATTCTCGTGTAAATTGTGGAGAATACCCTTGTTATCTGTCAGGTTTAGAGCTTGTTAAATGATTTCCAATGTTAGTTCTGATCTTTTTTTGCATGATGTAGTAGAGGAAAGACAAACCAAGAAGCTGGGGGAGATAACGTGGAAGAGGCCAAGCAGAGAATAGAAGCTCAACTTTAACAATGGCTTGACCTCTAATAATATTTGTATACGGTTCCCCACTCTCATAACAATTCAATTCTCTGCCCCTACCCCCACTCTGCTAAAGGTTATGGGTATACGGTTTGCATTAGAAAATTGTTGTAAAGAAAATGTCACTCTTTCATCATCCTCTATTTTCATGCTATAGGTTCTTTTCTTTCCTTTCATCTGCATGCCTGTATTACATGATCCTGGAGTGTGTGAGCTCTAAACCATGTGCCGCTGAGTCTTGCATGTGGTTTCGAGAGCTTGCCTTTGCATGAACTTCTTGTTTGTACAGTCTCTACATTTCTCATTGTGCGGCTGAAAAGTGAGTAAAAAAAATCAAAGTGCGAGAAACGTCAAACTCGACAAATGGAAAATGCTTGCTTATTAAACACAATATGTAAAACAAAGTTGATTACAGAAAAACAACTGTATCTTAGACTACTGAGAGGTTAAAAAAAAAAAAAGGATTTATTTTTCTCCAAAATCATTGTTAAAATCCCTGTGTCTTTCTAGTCTGTCATTAACTAAATTGTAATTTAATAGCAGCTTAAAGTGATTTAAATTTATGTATCATGATACATATAAATGTATTAAACTCTTGTACTTTATATCAGCATTCCATGTTATTTCATTTATGTATAATCTCAAATATAATTTCTCATGAAACACTTCAGAAGATCATGTTTACTGTTAAACCATGTCCAAATGAAGTATAAGGTTTCTAATCACACTATTTATTGACCTAAAATTATTTTCCATGACCCAAAACATTTGATTACTTGATAGATCACAGAAAAAAAACTTTAAAAGACTAAAAAGCGCAGTCATACTCCTTATCCCTTACATCTTTCTCTTTTTGTGAAAAAGCTATTGCCAGAATGTTCTTGAACTGAAAGCATTCTTAGAATACTTTCAGTTGTCCCAAATGGTTCAGAACACAAAAAGAAAAGGGCCAGAATAATGAAGCTAGCGAAAGAAAAATATTATTTTGAGTCTGATTTCGGACTTAGGAATAGTAAAAATTATCTCAAAGATCCTTTCTCAGATTAGACTGAAGCCATCTCTGAAACACAGTCAAGGAATTCTGCAAGTCAAAGTTATCTTCTGACCCAGTCTAAAACCTTCTGAAGTTAGCTGACATTAATTTTAGTTACAACCCCACAATGAACTGAACACCCTCTTCCATGTCAGTGCAGAATCAAGTGTCCTCATATTGCACACAAGGGCCTGCCTTGAGTGGAGAAGGACCTAAATAATCATGGCTCATAAACTTTTCTGAATGGGGGGAAATAAACCATTTAGGATAGAAATCACACCATAATTTAATATTACACACTGCATAGAGGAAGAGCCTTTAAGAACATTTAATTGATAATTTTATTCCTTACCTAAAAATGCAACCCCTCTCCTAAGTAATGCCTGCATAATAGAAAAAGAATCAAGGGATTCAGAAGACCCAAGCACTAGTTCTCAATCTGCCACTAATCTTGGACAAGTCACTTAACCTCTCTGTAGTTTAATTAAACTAGTCATCTTCAAATATTTATGAAGCACAAGAACTCAGATATTCTAACGTGAAAAATAATTATTATGCGAGCCTTTCTGGTTGGGGATAGAGATTCTATATGGAACGTATTCCAAAAAACACTGCACTAAGTTGGTGGGTAGGATTTTTGATGCCAGAGAACTGAAGGAGACCATTTCAGGTAAAGGCTGTGACAGGAGTAAAGGCACATATGTGGGAAGGTACAAAGCAGAATTAAGACACCTGAAGCAACTTTATTTTAGAAGAATGACGAGGTGTTTTTTTTTGTTGTTGTTTTGTTTTGTTTTAAACCCTGGGTCATTAGTGGAGTCAATTCTGAGAGACAGACATAGAAAGGAGTTGGAATAAGAGCATAGGAAGATGAATATATTTTTCAGCAAGGTGGATAGATGAGTTTTCCTTAAAGACAGGCTGGAAAGAAAAAAAGGAAGGGTGAAGGTGTTGGTTTTGAAGGGTAAAGGAGAAAACTCGACCATACTTGTGCTATATATCCCAGTTTCCTTGGTCAAGCAAAGGCTAGAAACATCTTGGGAAACTCCGTCAAGTTCAACGCAGTAGGCTAAAAATACTTAGAATTACAGTGGTACTCTAACAAACAAAGCCAATAAAAGTGGAAAATAAAATAATGAAGAATATTATATTAAGAGAAATTCTAATTTCTTAGAGCTGATGTGATTTCTAAGAAATATTTTAATAAAAATCTGATTTACTTTTCTTCAGTTGTTTTCTGGTTTCTCTTTTAGCAGTCAGAGCAGTCTCTGCCACTAACGTGACCTAATATCTAAATCCCTAATTTAATTCTACTCATCAAAAACTTTATTATTCCCAGTATGTACATGTATTAAATTAATTCATCTGTACCAGACCTGCTCATTCAGATCTACTCCACTTACAGACTGTCTTGATATACTATGAACAACAACAAAAAAACGGTTGCTCTCCAGTTGATTTGGACTCATGGCGACCCCACGTTTCAGAGTAAAACTGTTCTCCACAGAGTTTTCAATGGCTGTGATCTTTCAGAAGTAGATTGCCAGGCTTTTCTTCCAAAGCACCTCAGGGTGGACTCAAACTGCCACCCATTTGGTTAGTAGCCAAGTGCTTAACTGTTTACACCACCCAGGGACTCTTTGATACACCATGGTGAATTGTAATGATGAGCTCTTTCAGTTATGCCCAATTAAGCAACTCAGATAAAAATTATTCTTATCACATTAAACCCCATCAGAAATATAAAAGCAACACTTACAAAATGGCATGGCCTGTCTTCAACATATTGTTTTTATCCCTCCTTACCTTTTTCTAACAATCCTTTATATACTGAAGTAGATAAATATGGTCAATGAATAAACCTTACTCATAACATCCCTAAAGTCCCAAAAGCCTTAAAAGTAAATCCACATGGAGATTGGCAACAACCTGGATTGAAATAATGACCCAGAGGATAGTAACACCTTTTGCCTAGTTACTATTTAGGAGTTACATTAAAATAATT